CTTGACAATCCTCATAAGGCTGCGGTTCTCTCGGTTGGTTGTGCATCTTTTTCTTCCACACTTTTTCCTTCCACTCAACTTTCTGTTAACATGCTTGGATACAGCACTCTGTGAACAGCCAGCTTCTTTGGCAATGAATGTTTGTGGCTTACCCTCCTTGTGAAGGGTGTCAATGATTGTCTTCTGGACAACTGTCAGATCAGTAGTCTTCCCCATGATTGTGTAGCCTAGTGAACCAATTTGAGAGACCATTTCGAAGGCTCAGGAAACCTTTGCAGGTGTTTTGAGTTGCTTAGCTGATTGGCATGTCACCATATTCTAATTTGTTGAGATAGTGAATTGGTGGGTTTTTGTTAAATGTGAGCCAAAATCATCACAATTAAAAGAACCAAAGACTTAAACTACTTCAGTCTGTGTGCATTGCATTTATTTAATACACGAGTTCCACAGTTTGAGTTGAATTACTGAAATAAATGAACTTTTCCACGACATTCTAATTTATTGAGATGCACCTGTATGAATCAGGTTCCTATAATAAACATTTGCATTTTGGCAAAAAAAAAAAAGTTTAATTATACCTGAACGTCCATCCCAAATGCCTGGTGGCACAGGACGAGATACAGCTCACACAGAAAAACTCGCATTATTCTTGAACTGCTGCCTTGCAATACAAATCTTAAGACTGCTGATAATTCAGATTACTCCGTTCACTTGAATCCTATTTCCCGATGGAACTGTTACTCACCATATGCTCATGACTGAGATTGCAAAATATATTCAGATAATTTTAGTAACCTTTTTACTTAAAAACTTATATGACATCACACCTAAACTCAATTATGTTTCATTTTAAGTCTTAAAAAAACAGGATGTGTTGCTTTAAAAGTGACATATGTAAAATAAAATATCAAACTCTATACAGATTAATCATTTTGTAACCATCTCCCATTTGAGTAAAAAATGCATTCACACAAACATTCACTTAAAACCATAATTAGTTTTGCACTTTATTCTTCAAAAAACAGCAGCAAATGAGTTTGTGCGCTAGGTGGAATGCAATGTATATCTGTGTATGTGTAACTGTCATTCATAGATTCAAGATCTGTCTGAATGCACTAATCACTGACATTGACACTAATCAAAACAATGCCTTTTTTTTTCCAATATCACAAAGACTGAAGGTCCCTTTTGGTATTTCAAACCATGTCAAACCAGTCTTAGAGTATACACAAACACTGAATTAAAAAGACAAGATTTAGCGCTCGCCCCCCTCACACTGGATTACATAAAAAAATAAACAGTACATGACAATCTTAAAAATCAGTTTGGTTTTATCCACCTATCAACAATGAAAATAGTAAATTTAAATGCTAGAGTGCAAAGTTTGATTTTAAGAAATACGGTAAAATGACACCCCTCAATCTGAAGCTCTGCAATTAATCAGACTTCAGACAACTACTAGTGATTGACAGAGGTATGTTCTGAGGAGTTCTGGGATGTGCTTTGGAACAAATAGGCATGAGTCAAAGATTTACGAATGCAGGAAAGCGAGTCTGGTTCTCAAACCAGACCTCTATACGCAATGCTGGTGTTCACTTTGAGTGGGACATTCAGTGGATTCTAAACCCAGTTAGTCTTAATCTCAGCGCTGATGCATAAAAGAAAGTTCTGGTCCTGAAACGGTCATGATGATGGATGTCCTGGCAGACCATCAAATGAAGTTCAGCCTTTCCCATTGCCCTCGTCAGAACAGCTTTATCATGCTTTCTCTTGACTTGCCAACTCCCACCCACTTCACTGAAAAGAGAAAAAAAATTCTCTCATGACCATTTTGATATTTCTAAGCATGCCAGGAGGTTACATTTTTGTTAATGCATATGTAAGTTATCTATACAGTAGGGCTGCACGATAAATCGCATGCGATATTTAACGCGCATCTTATCAGTAAAGCCGGTTCTGTAATCAGCGGTAAATCTCCATCACCTGCGGGCTTTCACATTGAGCAGCATTAACTACACAGAGCCGTTGTTCACTGATGAGTTGTGCAAAACCACGTCCATATTCGCGCGATATTTTGCGCTGCTCGTCAGTGAACAACGGCTCTGTGTAGTTAATGCTGCTCAATGTGAAAGCCCGCAGGTGATGGAGATTTACCGCTGATTACAGAACCGGCTTTACTGATAAGATGCGCGTTAAATATCGCATGCGATTTATCGTGCAGCCCTACTATACAGTATGAGTATTTACCTGGAACCTCCAGGAACTTCTCGATAAAGCAAATGTAAGATTGTGCCTGTGAAGGCAGCTCATCAAAACTGCGGACTCCCTCAGTACTACAACACCAGCCAGGGAACGTCTCATAAGTCACTTGAACCTTTGTGAGGACATCCATGTTTGCTGAAATACACAATGATATGGTTCTATGCTTATACTGTACATGTTACAATATTACTATACTGCTTATGTGTGAATACCATTGTAATGTGTGAGAAATATGAAAATGTGTAACAAATAGTCAACTTACCAGGAAAACTGGGAAGAGGCTTTCCATCAACTGTGTAGGTTATGCCAATCTTTATTTCCGGCAATGTGTCAAGAATGTCCAACTTGGTCAGAGCAATGCTGAGAGAAACAAAAGGAAAAGTATTGTTAAATTAATTAACTAAACCAAGCATACTAACAGTTTAACCTGTGCCATAGCTAAAAAATATATATATATATATATTAGACAACAGTTTTCAACATTGAAAATAAGAAATGTTATTGAGCACCACATAAGCATATTAGTATGATTTGCCATCACAGGAATAAATCACATGTTAAAATACATTTGAATACAACATTTTAATATTTTACAATATTACTGTTCTACTGGTAACATTTTTTATTAAATAAATGCAGCTGTATTGAGCATAAAAGACGTTACTTTTTTTTTTTTTGAGTGTTAGTGTATGTAAAACACTTAACAACTCACGCTGAAAAACCATTAACCATGTGGGCATAGCGAACCAAAACCAGGTCCAGCCATCCACAGCGACGCCGCCTGCCTGTTGTTACACCAAATTCCCTCCCTCTGCTCTGAAGCAGATCACCAGTGTCCTAGAAAACATCAAAAAGAACATTAACAATTTTCAAATATAATACATGAGGGAATATCACAGAGTCACTGACACACACTCACATTATCTTGCTCAGTAGGGAATGCCCCCACTCCCACCCTGGTGGTGTAGGCCTTCACCACTCCATACACACGGCCAACATGAGATGGGGGGACCCCAAGACCTGTGCAAACACCTCCGACAGTACAGTTTGATGAGGTCACAAAGGGGTAGGTCCCTGAAAGAGAAGGAAACGTTAGACATTTGCATCATTCACACTGGCAAATACACTTTCCACTGTCCTCAGTTTCAAAGCACACCAGTGGATCTCCCATTTTAAGCAGGATTGCTGTTCATACCGAAATCGATATCCAGTAATGCAGCGTTGGCTCCTTCCACCAGAATCTTCTTGCTTGGCCCGTTGAGGGCTTTGTGCATGAAATAAACCCCATCAGTTACTAGAGGACGTAACCTCTCAGCATAACCCTGTGGGTGAAATGGAGAAAATATTACTTGGCAAGTTCATGAATGAGCAGTTTCACAGATCATATTGAAAGATGCCAAGACGCTAATCACCTTCAGTTGCTCAAGCTCAGCATCAATATCAATATTAAGGTTAGGATATGTGGTCTGAAAATGGCCAGCCAGCACCCGAAACCTGTAGAGAGATATTTACATGTATTTATCTTTCTGCCACGAGGGTCAATCTGATCACCGAGGCATTGATTTGTAGCCTACAATAAGAATATGTAATTGCCATAAAATTATAATGTGAATTAAAAATTAATAATCAAAGTTACAATATTAAGACAAACAATTGACAATTAGGATTGCATAAACATGCAGTTCTAAATTTCAGAGAAAAAAAAAAAAAGTCTAACAAAAGCAGATATGCTTATTTTCATATACAGTTTTCTGAAAAATTGTAAAGAAATATATAATAATACTCACTTTTCCTCAAAGACTGTAAAGTCTGAGACCAGATCACACACTCTCAGTCCATTACGTGCTGCTTTGGAGGAATATGTAGGTCCAATGCCCTTCTTAGTGGTGCCCAAACTGAAAAACAAAGGAGGGTGAACTCAATATTAAAACTGAAGAAAATGATCTACAAATTAAGCTTTTATAAGGTCAAAAAAATAAACCTCACTTCTTCCCTGCCTGCTGCTGTCTCAGCTGCTCCTGTATCCCATCAACGGCTTGATGGAAATTGAACACTACACAGAAAAATAGAAGAGCTCTAATTCCAATGGCATAGATATCAGTTTCTTGGTGTTTTTAGTTGTCAGAGACAATGCTGCACATAGTCAATGTCATCAGGAATAAACCCAAATTACTCAAGGCCTGATGAAGTCAAAACAGAACCATACCAATATGTGCCCGGTCAGATATCTTCAGTCGTTCCTCCCATCCTTGAAGTCCTAAATTAAACAAAGCAAAAGAACTCATTAATAAAAAACAAAAACAAATACCTCATCTAACAGAGATGGGGTAGAACATTTTTTCAATTATATATACATTACAGTTTAAGTATGTGAGGGAATGTCACTGAGTTTTACCTCCTGGCCTACTCTCTACTTGTTCTATGTAATGAGTGACTTGTTTCTTTGTTCTTGCAACAACCACAACTTTTTGTAAGAAACAATGCTCTTTTTGCATAATTTTCATATTTTATATTGGTACAGTGGTACCTTTAAGTAAATAAAACATTCCTTACATGCTCATTTAGTTAAAAAAAAAAAAAAAACAGCAAGTGGTCACCAAGCTTATATTAGTATTATTTTTTTTTTTAACTGTGTTGATTTTGTTACTTCGTAACAATAGCTGTTCTATACGGATCATGTTTTTTTCATGAGGGGCAAAAAACATTTTTTAATTTTTTTGAGAGAAAATGCATTGAGATATATATATAGAATATCATCAAAATGTGCAAAAATATAGAGGTACGACTCTTAGCTATATAGCCCAGACCAAATAAATAAGTATTTTAAATAAATAGATTAATCAAATGAAATTACACAAATAATCAACATTTGGTATTTTACTCCATAAACAGATTTACCATTTACCAACTTACCATTGCCTTTCTGCGAGTTCTTCTCAGCCTCCTCAAAAAGTCCTGGCAGGTGTATCACAACACCATTTCCTGCGGGACAGAACAAAAAAAGATCTCAGCAAACACAACAGCAAGTCAGAAGTTCAAACAATGAACTGAGGTTAATACAGAGAAGACATTATAAATACGTACTTTTAAATGAAAACTCGGTAAAAATAAAAACAAATAAAAAACTAGGGGGAAGGTCAAACAAAAACATACCAACAAAAGAAATGGCCTTTTTGTTGAGAACGCCGCTAGGTAGCAAGTGAAAGTCATACTCCACCGAGTCCACCACCACTGTGTGTCCCGCGTTATTTCCTCCCTGATAATACACAGCTGTTACAAACATGAACGCAAGTATCGCGATAAGATAAGAATCTAGCCGCAGGAAACGTTACATAATTTGTCCTGCCAACAAGTGGCGATGGCAAAGAATAAAATAAACTTTGTTCATTATAAGGTTAGTGTTGCGACTTCTGCAAGTGATTCCTTCTGCTTTTACCTCAGTCTAATAACAGCAAGCCTCAGACAGTACAGACATAACGTTAACGGTTGCGCAAACTCTCCTAAACACAAAATGACGAGCGGTTGGATACGTTACCCACCTGGCATCTGCACACAATGTCGGCGTCCATTGCCAAGAGGTCGACCACTTTCCCCTTCCCCTCATCGCCCCACTGAGCTCCCAACACGACGGTCACTTTATTCTGGGGCTCCCGCAGGCTCCGCAGAGAGTCCACGCTGTCTCTGGAGCGCTTGAGCGCGGGTTCACCGTTCAGAGAGGCCGTTTCCTGACCATCAGACATTGTACTGTCCGCAGCCATGCCGAAAGTGTGTGAAGAACAGCGTTAACGCGGCTACACTACTCCAATATGGTTGCGCGCGAAATCGACCATCAAAATAAAAGTCCAAAAAGAAACAAAAGTGGTGGTGGGGTTTGCAAACACATTGCCGTCAAAACTGCACAAAGAACATGCATGCTTGTAAAAAATAAATTGGAGGGAGTGACACTTACTATTGAAATGGAATTCAATTAAATGTATTTTCCACAGGTTTGGTGATATTGTCCGTTTTAGACGCTTGTTATATCCTGTGTCTGTTCCCCTTTCGGGCTTGAACTGATGGTAAAACTAATGACATTATTTACTGTCTTTACATTTATTTTGAAAGATGAAGCTCGCGATTATGGTAAGGGGCGTTACATTTCCGACGAGTGCTTGCGGTGTTCGGCCAATCACAATGCACTGGGTCAGCTGGCCAATCAGAGCAGACTGCGCTTGTCGGAAGGAGGGACTTTGTAGAAAACGAAGCGTTTGAGAGAGGCGGGGCATAGAGGACCTACAATAATGTACAGTATTTGAAAAATAATGTGTTTTTTGAACATTAAAGCATGTCAACATATTCTGTTACACCAAATACACAAAATAATGATCTTTAAAAAAGCATCATATGACCCCTTTAAGTAGTTAAGATGTCCAACATTCCTTACATGTTCATTTACTAAAACAAAAAAACAAAAGAAAAGCAGCGAGGGATCACCAAGTCTAGATAACTATTTTTTTTAAACCGTGTTTATTTGGCAAAAAATAATTTGCATGTACTTTATAATAACAGCTGTTCTATCCAGATCTTGTATTTTTCATTTGGGGGCAAAAAAGAAAATGCATTGTGATATACATAAAATAATGAGATACAATTTTTTAACTATAGCCTATATCACAGACCTAATAAATAGGTTTCAAAAAAATAACATATATTGAGCAAATTATATTACACTGATGATATCACAATGACATAGTGACTTCAAGATTATGAATTTTACTCCGTGAACAGATAACTTACCATTGCCTTTCCGTGAGTTCTTCTCAGCCTCCTCAAAAAGTCCTGGCAGGTGTATCACAACACCATTTCCTGCGGGACAGAACAAAAAAAGATCTCAGCAAACACAACAGCAAGTCAGAAGTTCAAACAATGAACTGAGGTTAATACAGAGAAGACATTATAAATACGTACTTTTAAATGAAAACTCGGTAAAAATAAAAACAAATAAAAAACTAGGGGGAAGGTCAAACAAAAACATACCAACAAAAGAAATGGCCTTTTTGTTGAGAACGCCGCTAGGTAGCAAGTGAAAGTCATACTCCACCGAGTCCACCACCACTGTGTGTCCCGCGTTATTTCCTCCCTGATAATACACAGCTGTTACAAACATGAACGCAAGTATCGCGATAAGATAAGAATCTAGCCGCAGGAAACGTTACATAATTTGTCCTGCCAACAAGTGGCGATGGCAAAGAATAAAATAAACTTTGTTCATTATAAGGTTAGTGTTGCGACTTCTGCAAGTGATTCCTTCTGCTTTTACCTCAGTCTAATAACAGCAAGCCTCAGACAGTACAGACATAACGTTAACGGTTGCGCAAACTCTCCTAAACACAAAATGACGAGCGGTTGGATACGTTACCCACCTGGCATCTGCACACAATGTCGGCGTCCATTGCCAAGAGGTCGACCACTTTCCCCTTCCCCTCATCGCCCCACTGAGCTCCCAACACGACGGTCACTTTATTCTGGGGCTCCCGCAGGATCCGCAGAGAGTCCACGCTGTCTCTGGAGCGCTTGAGCGCGGGTTCACCGTTCAGAGAGGCCGTTTCCTGACCATCAGACATTGTACTGTCCGCAGCCATGCCGAAAGTGTGTGAAGAACAGCGTTAACGCGGCTACACTACTCCAATATGGTTGCGCGCGAAATCGACCATCAAAATAAAAGTCCAGAAAGAAACAAAAGTGGTGGGGGGGTTTGCAAACACATTGCCGTCAAAACTGCACAAAGAACATGCATGCTTGTAAAAAATAAATTGGAGGGAGTGACACTTACTATTGAAATGGAATTCAATTAAATGTATTTTCCACAAGATGGTGATATTGACCGTTTTAGACGCTTGTTATATCTCACTTCGTGGACGTATTTTGGCGGGTAGATGGTGTGGGAATATAAAGTCTTGCGTTTATAATTTTTTTTTTCTTTTATTACTTGTAAACATTGTGTGTGTGCATCTTATTATAGTTAATATTTTTGCTCAGACTCCGTTTGCTCAACCATAACAGCTGTCAACCTCTTTGCGATCTAGTAAATCTAGTAGTCTGAATATTTACTTTAATTTAATAATAATAATAACCTTCTTTAAAACAAACAGCCAAACCAGTATGAGCCACATTTCAAAATATAGGTAAAGCGCATTTAAGAAGTTAGAAGTGCAATAAAAATCCTATTCAACTATTAAAACAATTTTAATCTTAGTTGTTTAAACAATAGTTTACCAACAGAAGACATAAACTGGACATAAAAACGTTACAATTCTAGAATAAGATTACACTGCTCAGGCTTGACAACCGAGGCTACGCCATGAACGGCAAGAAGCTTCAATATCTTCTTTTAACAAAAAAAATACCTTCTTTTCACACAGCAGCATGTTTCTTTGGAATAACGGGCGATGTTATCAATCAAAACCCTTTCAGAGACATTTGAAGAAGAGTGTTGGATATCTGTTGTGTGTTGTTTAGCCTGCTTGACCGTATGTTGGGAGTTTGTATGTAGGGAAGGGAAACTCAGGTTGTGATAAAGCTGTATGCAAAGCACTGTGCTATTGTTTATCTAACTTAAGATAACAGTTCAGTTGCAGTGTATAATGTTTAAATCGTTCTATATGGATCACCCAAACACAATAAAAAGGCGTTTCACCAGTGTTTTGTGCGTCAGCTGTTTCATCACTGGTTGGGTTGGCATTGACAAACTCAATGAAACTCAATGAAAGTGTGGGCTGCCTCACGTATATGTCACTAAATACTTTTCAGGTATTCAAGTACTTTATCAAGTATTACGATTATTTATCTTTATAAATCCAATTTAATTTAACATGACGTATCTTTGGGAAGTCGTGGCCTAATGGTTAGAGAGTCGGACTCGTAACCCAAAGGTTGCGGGTTCGAGTCTCGTACCGGCAGGGATTGTAGGTGGGGGGAGTGAATGTACAGCACTCTCTTCCACCTTCAGTACCACGACTGAGGTGCCCTTGAGCAAGGCACCGAACCCCCAACTGCTCCCCGGGCGCCGCAGCAAAAAATGGCTGCCCACTGCTCCGGGTGTGTGTTCACGGTGTGTGTGTGTTCACTGCTGTGTGTGTGCACTTTGGATGGGATAAATGCAGAGCACTAATTCCTAGTATGGGTCACCATACTTGGCCACATGTCACTTCACTTTGGACTTGTTACAGCCAAGTCCACCACTGTGGGCACTGCTGGGAATTCGTCAAGAGGGTTTTGTGCCTGCTGCTCTGCTGCCAGTAACACTCACTATGGTATTTTATTGCTGTCTTCTTTTTAGTTTTCCTCACTTTTTCCTAAGGATAAACATGTACAATAATTGGTAGCCTGATGGTTACAAACCAGGCCTCTAAACCCAGATGTTGGGTAACCATTATAACAAAAAACATTGTACCCTTTAAGACCCATTAAACCAATCTCTCTCTCTCTCTCTCTCTCTCTCTCGCTCTCTCTCTCTAT